AATATAATATAATATAATATAATATAATATAATATAATATGTTGAGAAGCTATGATTTTGTGGCCCCATGTTCCCTGTCACTTCCATCAACAGAGGGGAGCAGAAATTCTCTGATGGAGGTAGTCATGGAAGGAGGAAATACCAGAAAAGTGGAATGTTCCTTGTTTCTAAACCCTGTAGAATCCTCTCTGCAGCAGTTTCACAAAGATCCAGATTTGTGAAGCTAGGAAGGCCATTCATTCTCATTCTCTTCAAAACCTGTGGAGTACTGCAGTGCAAATTATTGCAGCTTGAATTCACATCAACTCACTGGTCTGTGGAATCTGCACCTTTGGGCACTTCTGGATGTTGGCAGTTGGGGTAGCCCATTTGGGTGCACTGTTTCTTTTGTTAAGTACTGCAAGGGCCAACGTGCTAAGGAATCACAGGAGATTAGGGTTGGAAGAAATCTCAGGAAGTCATCTAGTCCAACCCCCTGCTCAAAGCAGGACTGACCCCACCTAAATAATTTTCACCAGGGCTTTGTGAAGCCTGGCCTTAAAAACCTCTGAAGATGGAGATTCCCACACCTCCCTAGGCAACCCATGTGCCAGTAAAAAGGAAAGTATCTTTCATGTGAGTGGCCTTTGTATCTAGCAGATGTCCAATATCTGTGGGACAGTAAATACACAGAGTTTTAAAACACTATGATTGTCTAGTCTGAGTACTTGCATAACACATTTCACTTAGTAATTCCTACAGTAGACAGAATTATTTTTCCTTATTACATCAGGGAAAACTATCAAGTTCACAAACTAAGGTTGAATCATATGTTTTTTGAGAAAGATATGCAATATAGCTATAAAGACTCTAAATGATGATGAATTTACCACTGGATCCCCAACTTCTACCATGGTGGGAAGGAAAGTGGGAACAAATTCCTTTACACTCAAATAACGGGTTAGGGAGTATGGACTCCAGAGAATTTATGGGCAACATTAAAGTTTCCTCCCTAGAAATATTATAACTCTTCTCTGTGACCATTCTTTTTTTTTCTTTCTGCAACATACAGTATAGGACAAAATGTGCTGTACAATCAATTTTATAAATGTCAATATTTTCGTGATTATCAGCCTGTGCTTTTAGAGCTTTTTATGTTCTTTAAATTATTGCCATACTGGAGCCTTTTAAGATTTCATTTTGATGTATCATGTATACAAATAGGCTGTGTCTACACTGGCCCATTCTTGCGCGAAAACGGCCGCTCTTGTGCAAAAACATGCCACCTGTCTACATTGGCCGTGCGTTCTTGCGCAAGTAAACTGACGTTGTACTGTAGAAAATCAGGGCTTCTTGCATGAGAACTCTGACACTCCCTCTCAGGAAAAAGCCCTCTTGCGCAAGAGCTCTTCCAGAAGAGGCCAGTGTAGACAGGCAACATTAATTTTTTGCGCAAGAAGCCCCTATCATTAAAATGGCCATCAGAGCTTTCTTGCGCAAAAGCACATGCCAGTGTAGACGCTCTCTTGTGGAAGAGTTTTTGCACAAGAACTCTCCTGCAACAGAGTTCTTGTGCAAGAAGCTGCCAGTGTAGACATAGCCATATTGTTAAATTATATAGAATTAGAGTATCTCCAGTATACAATTGTAGACTGTAGCTAATTATCATAAATATATTTTTTATCTTAGGAAGACGTTCACAGAAGGGTGAGACTAAAGGGGACAGAGCTGGTAAGTAATAAATTAAATATTATGAGACCTTTTAGTATTTTTGTTCATATTTAGTTTATCTCAATAAAGAGAAGATTTGGCATTTTTTTGCCATTTACGGGGTAGAATCTACTTCCAAGCCTTGTCCCTCCTCAGCTTTCACTGGAGCAAAACCTATGTTGAAGCCATGAACTTTGAGTAAATATATTAGGATTTTGGTGTAAAAGATAGAGTAAGCTGAGTGGAGATGGGTGCATGTAGAAAGCATACTTGGAAGACTTGTTCAAAGTTCTACTTAAAAGAGTCATCAGTAGTAAATTAAGTTTCAGCCACTAGAAGGCAGTCCCAATGAGTGATGTCTCATGATTACTGTCACTGGGGTATCATGAAAATCTTAGAGGAAATCTATAGGATCTGTACTGGAAAATTCTACATTTCACTTGTTAGCACTTCCTATCTTCCACACCTTCAGTCTGGGTATAGATTTCATTTTTAAGAGTTCATTAGCTTCTCATTTGCTGTGTTTAGGAATATATAGAAGATAGCTAATTCTCCTCCACAGCTTGGTGTTTCAATTTTAAGTGAATAATTGCTTTGCTTTGAAATCCAAAGCCAAAGTAGTCCAAATGATCTTTACTAACATAGTCAAGCCTTTTAAATAGTCAGTTGTCTGACTTCACTTTACATTTTTCAGAGAAATGTCTTGATATCAGTGATCTCAAACAGTTCAATGAATGTTTCAGGTTAAGAAGCTGAATAGCCCTTTATGTTTCATTTCTTTAAGGAAAGGGAGATGAGTGCAGACATTTATCTAGTTACAACTGGAAATTCATTAATTAAATAATGGATAAGTTCTGTTTTTATAGGTCTTATCTGGAACTGATCACGTCCTGACTACTGTTCATATTGACTATAACAGAGTTTAAAGAGAAGCTACATAATTTCATGGAGGTTAGGTCCATAAAAGGCTATTAGCCAGGGGATAGAATTGGTGTCCCTGGCCTCTGTTTGTCAAAGGCTGGAGAAGGATGGCAGGAGACAAATTGCTTGATCATTGTCTTCAGTCCACACTCTCTGGGGCACCTGGTGCTGGCCACTGTCGGCAGACAGGCTACTGGACTAGATGGACCTTTGTTCTGACCCAGAACGGCCGTTCTTATGTTCTTATGTTCATGTTATTCCTTGATACATTCCCCCTTAAAACATATTATTATAAGTGGTTTGAACTCCAGTTAAGTGCATCTTTTAATCCTTTACTTTTTACTTGGCAAAGGAACTGATAGTTAGGAGCATTAGGGGACCATGCCTTCTCTGCTGGAGTGGAACATATCTCCTAGTGTGTGCAACTGTAGTTGCTCATAATTCTAAAATCTCAATTCTAAACCCCAGACCCTTGCTGTGCAATCTCTGGGTATGGGAAATTCTCCAGCCTATGTAGTTGTCTGTATGCCACCTCACTACAATCTGTACTTTCATGGGACTTTCATGCACTGTACTACTGTATAAACTTTTGCTTTCAGTGGAACACAGCTCAGCATCAGTTCTAGAAAAAAAGTTTACTATGACCCCAATCCTTCATTAGACTCCACGGCTGTGTCTAGACTGGCCAGTTTTTCTGGAAAATCAGCAGCTTTTCCGGAAAATCTTGCCAGCTGTCTACACTGGCCGCTTGAATTTCCGCAAAAGCACTGACTTCTTACTGTAAGAAATCAGTGCTTTTTGCGGAAATACTATGCTGCTCCCGTTCGGGCAAAAGTCTTTTTCCGAAAGACTTGCGCAAAAGGGCCAGTGTAGACAGCAGAGATTTCTTTTCCGCAAAAAAGCCCCAATCTCGAAAATGGCGATCGGGGCTTTTTTGCGGAAAAGCGCGTCTAGATTGGCGATGGACGCTTTTCCGCAAAAAGTGCTTTTGCGGAAAAGCGTCCTGCCAATCTAGACGCTCTTTTCCAAAAATGCTTTTAACGGAGAACTTTTCTGTTAAAAGCATTTCCGGAAAATCATGCCAGTGTAGACGTAGCCCACATGTCCACAGCATCCCTATTGAAGTAACCTATGCATGTATAGGGCCCACATTGCATAGACCAGTCTGAAGATGGTGGGTCTGTGATATTACCTGTAGCAGTACTGTGTCTGCCATGCTTTCACAGTAGTGCCATTGTATCTGATTATGTTAAATATTTTCACTTTCAGGAAAATCAAATATGCAGGAAAGGGAGAGCTCTGGGGAAAAAACTGGTGAGGAGTAAAGAAATCAAATATTGCTTTTATTAACTTTACCAATGTAGCATGTGGAGATGTGAAAGACTGCAGATAAGGAGCAGAGAAATGAAATATTTTATTATAACTAAGGAATTAATACTTAACAAATGTATTTCAATACTGTTTCAGTCTGTCCAAGGCTTTGGAAGCTATAAGATTTTCCAATTACTTTCATGGTATGTAATGCAGGATGTTTGTTTGTTTGTTTTGTTTTGAAATTTATAGAATGCTATATTAGTACTGAAGTTATAACTTCAGATTTCTTTAGCTGTAAATCTCTTGATGTACTCAAAGATTTTACTTTTATTATGAAAGCATCAATTTGATATTAAACCAAGACATAATGGAGATGAATAGCTAGTTCTGTGATCAGAATGGCATGAAAACAGTGCTGATAAAACTGGCAAATAGTTATGAGGAGATTTTAAATTGTATTTTTGCAGCCGCAACTTAGGTGCATCGCTTAGAAAAGTATGCCCATGATGTCAGCTTTTTGTATATATTTATTAGCTTTAGGTCCTACTGCTTTACACCTGGCATCTCAGTGTGGATCCATTGAAGCACTTAATTGTCTTCTGGCCTTTAAGGCAGATTATAAATTAACTGATGATCGAGGATGGATGGCTATACATTTTGCTGCATTCTATGACAACATTTCCTGTATCAAGGTTCTCTGTAGAAAAGATCCAGATCTTCTAGAGACTGAAACAACAGCTAAGTAAGTCACTAAAACTTTTATCACTGTGAAGATTGGTGACTGAATTATGCTAAGAATGCATCTTCAAGATTTCAGCTTTTCTTCCTCACAAGAAATTTTTTATGCTACAGCCTAAATATGTTTCAGGACTCTGAGTGGCCAATTCTGACTTCATACAGAAATGGAGTGGGATATGAGTGGGATCTGCACAATTCATAGGAAGGTAAAATTAGGTCCTGAATTTCTATTCCTTCACCCATCCAGAGTATAGGAGCATCATTAGCAACAGAAATTCAAAATCTCGAGTATGGTAATATTGAAGTTGTAAGCCTAGAGACAGTGGGACTTCATCCCAATGAACATAACTCTTATTAAAGTCAATTAAAGTCAACTCTTATTAAAGTCTAATTAAAGATCCATGTAAGGACATATATATGAGCATATAAATACTGTTATTTTATTCTTCATTCTGGAAGGATTAATTCTTTCTCCATTATGGGGCTTTATTTGTATGTCAAGACAGGAATCTGTGGCTTTACACATTGCATCATATACAGGCAGTCCCCGACTTACGCGGATCCGACTTATGTCGGATCCGCACTTACGAACGGGGCTTTCTCGCCCCGGAGTTCGAGGTAGCGGATTGCTACCTGCGAGCTCCGGGGGAGAAAGCCCCGTTCGTAAGCTGCTCGGGTGCCCCATGTCTGCTGGAGACCGTCTCCAGCAGACCAGGGGCACCGGAGCAGCTTACAAACGGGGCTCTCTCGCCCAGGAGCTCGCAGGTAGCAATCCGCTACCTCGAACTCCGGGGCGAGAAAGCCCCGTTCGTAAGTGCGGATCCGACATAAGTCGGATCCGCGTAAGTCGGGGACTGCCTGTATATGATGCAATGTGTAAAGCCACAGATTCCTGTCTTGACATACAAATAAAGCCCCATAATGGAGAAAGAATTAATCCTTCCAGAATGAAGAATAAAATAACAGTATTTATATGCTCATATATATGTCCTTACATGGATCTTTAATTAGACTTTAATAAGAGTTGACTTTAATTGACTTTAATAAGAGTTATGTTCATTGGGATGAAGTCCCACTGTCTCTAGGCTTACAACTTCAATATTACCATACTCGAGATTTTGAATTTCTGTTGCTAATGATGCTCCTATACTCTGGATGGGTGAAGGAATAGAAATTCAGGACCTAATTTTACCTTCCTATGAATTGTGCAGATCCCACTCATATCCCACTCCATTTCTGTATGAAGTCAGAATTGGCCACTCAGAGTCCTGAAACATATTTAGGCTGTAGCATAAAAAATTTCTTGTGAGGAAGAAAAGCTGAAATCTTGAAGATGCATTCTTAGCATAATTCAGTCACAATACTGTACAGTTATCCTCCAATGAACTGTAAGAAATGAAGGACCCAATGCATGACTTGAGTAGAATTTGGATATGGCCTATTGGCCCTAATGGAGCCTCAGTTAAGCCAGAGGTGAAATGAACAATTAAAAATCAAACAAGCAGAAACTGTAAAACGAAGGCCTATGCATTTGAACAGAGAGCTTATGCAGTCACATCTTCATGGATTCCATTTCTGAAACAACAGTTTATAGTCAACTGAAATAACTTCGTTTATAAACCGACCCCCCAGACTTTCAGAGAGCCATAGAATCATAGAATACTAGGACTGGAAGGGATCTTGAGAGGTCATCAAGTCCAGTCCCCTGCCCCCATGGCAGGACCAAACACTGCCTAGACCATCTAACCTACTCTTAAATATCTCCAGAGATGGGGATTCCACAACCTCCCTGGGCAATTTATTCCAGTGTTTGACTACCCTGACAGTTAGGAACTTTTTCCTAATGTTCAACCTAAACCTCCTTTTCTGCACTTTAAGCCAATTGTTTCTTGTTCTATCCTCAGAGGCCAAGATGAACAAGTTTTCTCTCTCCTCCTTACGACACCCTTTTAGATACCTGAAAACTGCTATCATGTCCCCCCTCTCTTTTCTAAACTAAACAAACCCAATTCTTTCAGCCTTCCTTCATAAGAAAAAATGGTAAAAGTCACTGACCTGTTTATAATCCAACTCCAGAGTACAGACTTCCAGTCTCAGCTCGTCAGTGTCAGCACTGGCTGAGGGATGTGCTGTCTGCAGACACGGAGCCTCTCAGCTCCCATTGACTGCTGTTTGTTGTTCCCAGCCAATGGGGGCTGAGATGCTCCATGCCTGCAGCTTTCACGCCTCTTAGCTCAGCCGGCAGCCAGCAAGTCCTTCAGCCTGTGTTGCTTCTCAAGCCGCAGGAAGAACCTGTTCATAAGATGACCCCCCTATTCACAGTGGGATTATTTTTCAATAAAATATGAACAAGTATATATAGTATATTAAATAAACTTGTTTATATACCACAATATGTTTCTGCGTTCCAGATATCATTCTACTCCTCTACTGCTTGCTGCCACATCTGGAGCATTAGACACTCTTCAGTATTTGTTTTCTCTTGGTGCTAACTGGAAGAAAACTGACAGTGAAGGAAATAATATAATCCATTTAGCAGTACTGTACTTCCACACAGAAATTCTTAAGCATTTAATAGTGCTAGATAATCCAGATCTTCCAGTTTGGAATACTCTTGTAGGTAAGCATGTACATTCTCACTCAAATAAAAAGTCTGTTCATGATACATTTTAACCAGTGGTGCTTAATTTTACCCATGTGAGTAATCCTATGGGACTCAATGGAACTACTAAAGTGTTTAAAATTATTCACATATATAAATGTTTGTAACACCAGGAGCTTTGCATTTAATTCACAAAGACATTTCCAACTTCTTTATTATTAAAATGTACCCAGCAAATTGTTATTTTAAAATTGCAACTTTACAGCCTCATTTTCAAAACCATTGGTTTTATCGATAATAATACACCTGCACTTATTGCGCATGTAAATGACTAGGTACTTACGTGTGCTTTTATTCACTTAGGATGCAAAGAAAAAATGTTCCAGGTATACCTTTTACATGGATGCTTCGAAAATTAGTCCCCATCTCTGTCTTAGTTTGCATTACAAAGCTCTTTGGCTATCATTTGGTTTTTAAGGCCACTTTATAATCCTGATCTTGCTATGAAATGCACACAGTGAATTCTTGTGTCCTCGGGCATCTCACTGTTTTCAGAAAGACTACATGTTGCCACAATGTTCTGCCCATACAGATTGATTACAGGACCAGGCCTATGTCAGCTGTGGACTCCCTAAATTAAATTGTAAGTTAAATTCTGATCCATAAAATAAAAGGCTATCTTCAATTATAATCTTCATCGGGGTAGCCAAGTTAATCTGTAACAGGAAAAATTTTTAAAACAACAAATAGTCTAGTAGCACCTTAAAGACTAACAAAATGTATAAATGGTATTATGATACCACTTCTTCAGATGACTGGAGTATTAGAAGTCCAGATCCAAGAATAAATAAGGGGGGTGGGGAGAGAAGGAGGGAAGAAAAGGAAAGAAAAGGAGGAGTGGGGGGAAAAGTGTGTCTGCTATCTGCTTGATTCTTCATTCTACCCCATCCAAACCTGATGGTTCTTTTGAAATGCTGATTTTCAATGAAGTCTCTTTGTAAAGGGATCAGAGAACACAACAGGGGATAGCTCAGTTTTGTCTTACTCATTCAAAACCTGAAAGTGCAGGGGACTGAACTAGATAACCTCTAGAGGTCCCTTCTAGTCCTATGATTCTATTATTCTAATTGTGGAAGAGTTAATGAATAGAGAGGAAATGCATTTAGGCTGCTGGCTATAGATAGGACACTGTAGTAGATCTCCCTGGTGCTCTAGCTCCCACATTAACTAAAAACCACATGAGGTAGCCAGAGTCCCCACACAGGGCCCAGGGTGTTTTTAAACATTTGTGTCGGAAGTACCCAGATGATCTCCCAGTTAGATTTTACTAAATAATTTCTTCAATTTGTTGGATTCATATCCCTCTCAGATACAGAGAGAAAAGATCATGAAAGCTTCTCTATTTGTATGTATTGAGTTATCATTGAATCCAATGTGACAGAATGTTTCCCAAATGTTGAAACTGCATTATAGCGGTATTTGTCACTGACAATCACTAACTATAGTGGACAACGTTCCTTTTCTCCTCCAACAAGTTTCCAAAATGTCCTCCGATCCACCATGACTCAAAAGAATCTCAGTGCTTTGTCCCTCTTGAGCATAGAGAAGGAAATTGTCAGGTCTTTGAACTATGATGACATTATTCATGACTTTGCCGCAGCTAATCTGAGAAAAAATTGTTTGAGTGTAGTGAGAGTAGAATAAAAGTGTTAATTTTACATAAATATGTATATAGATTAATGTTTGATGACTTCAGTATTTTTTTTCAGTATGTAATTCATATTTAGGCCCTTCCTTACCACTCATAACCTTAATCCGGCCCTGCCTTATGATAAAACCTATTAAAAACGATAACTGAAAAGGCATGTTATGTTTAAGGTCAAGCAGATTTTGAAGATCACATTCAGTCGTAGTTGTATTTTTGTGAAATGACAAGGTTTAAAAAATGTTTTACTTTTCCAACAGAGATGTTACAGTGTGAAGACCCTTCAAGGACAGAAATGGCAGTTAGGTCCTTGGAAGTTCTCTGTTTAGCAGAAGATTTCTACTGGAAATGCATTTTGGATTCAGGTGATATAAATAGCATAGCAAGCCATAAGTTTTTTGTAAAATTAAGTGTGCTCTCATTCATTATCATAGAATCATAGAGCTGGAAGAGACCTCAGGAGGTCATCAAGTCCAGCCCCCTGTCCAAGGCAGGACCAATCCCAACTAAGTCAACCCAGCCAGGGCTTTGTCGGAGCAAACAGGAGCTCCCTGTCAGACTCTCTGACTACTCTCCTCTCCCCAGTTTAGTCATAGTTCTTTTCCCCTGTTATTCCAAGTTAGCTTTCCTGTTTCTTTCAAAAAAAACCAAAAAACCTAGAAACAAGAAGAATACATTTACCTAAATCCCCCCTTGAACCAGTGTTCTCACAGCTGTTCAACACAGGAAAGAAAGAAAAGAGTTTAAAAAAAAAAACCAACACACGGAGACAGACGAGAACAACAGTAACAGCCAAATAAATACATAGAACAAGCTCAAAGAGGAGAGAACCGACCATGTCCGGCTCCTCGGGCTTTAAAAAATGCGACCAATGCCGGGATCCTATGCCGGCTTCAGATGGGCATTCAAAGTGCATTCGCTGTTTGGGGGAATCTCACTCTCCCCACAGCTGCACTCATTGCAATTCACTCACGGCGAGAGCCAGGAAGGACCGAGAGCTCCGCCTAAGAATGATTTTATTTGAAAATGATATTCGAAAAAGCCTTGCAGCCCGCAGAACAGCCGGGAACGCGCCAAGAGCCTCCCCCTCTCTCCAGAACCGAGCTGAGGGGTAGAGCCTCACCATCCCGCTCCTTATCAGCCTCCTCCTCTCCTAAACATGGAGTAGAGGCACACCAGACCGGGAGGACGCCCGCCACAAAGGCTTCGGGGCGATCCTCCCACTCCGCGCCGGCATCGGGGCACGCCACTGCTGAGCGGCCCCGGGAGCGTTCAAAACAGCCGGCACGGCAAGAAAAGCCGGCGCCGAAGCAAACCGCGGTGCCGCTTCAAACAGCGGCACCGCTTTCAACTGCACAGCCTTCCGTGGCGCCGAAAGCCACAGCGATCCTTAAAGCTACGGTGCCGACTAAAACCACGGCACCGCAGCAGAGTGACCCACAGCCCAAACGCCCGGCACCACCTCCAGATAAGCAGCAGGATGCTGCACTAACGCTGCCAGGGCAAACTGACAGGCAGCCAGACGACACTGCTATGGAGCAGAGCCAGCAAGAAGCTCTCTCACACAGCAGTCTTTCTGCTCAGTGTCTGCCTTCCACATCCTACTCACCTGGGAAGTCCCTATCACGGCTATCCCCTCCCAGGTCTACACCAATCTTATCCGGCCGAGACGCTCCCCTTCTTGAGGATGATCACCACACATCTTATTCCTCGAGGCACCCATCACCTAGGCAATCTCGCTTTTATGACTACGGAGCCCCACCACAACAGAACCCATGGCACCCGTACTGGCCTTACCCACCCCCACCTTATCCGCAATGGGGACCCTGGGAACACTGGGAATCACGTGGACAATGCTCCCCAATTCACTCCACTCCATCCCGGAGAAGCTTATCTCGGCCGCAGTCCCTACCTCCAGCAACTCTTTCGGATGAGGAGGTGGACCGAATCTCTGACAATGAATCAGACACTCACTCAATAAACGTCACACATTCTGATGCTCCCGATACACAATCAAATGAAGCCATAGTACCATCAGATTCTGCACCAATTGATGATCTAAAACAGTTCCAGGAACTATTCAAGAGGGTAGCGACAAGCCAGAATGTTTCCCTGCAAGAGGTCCAGAAGAAACAGTACCAATTGCTAAAAAATCTCCATCTAACATTACATAGCAAGATTGCCATGTCTATAGACGAGGCAATAATGGAGACCTCGGAAGACCTCTGGAAAACACCTGCATCCATTCAACCAACGAATAAAAGGATCGATAGGAAGTACTTTGTCCCATCAAAAGACAACGACTTTCTTTTCACACACCCACAACCCAACTCGTTAGTAGTGGATTCAGCGCAACAACGTGCAAAGATCCCACAATACAAGTTGGGCAACGCAGACAAGGACCACAAAAAGCTGGACTCCTTTGGCAAGAAGGTATACTCCTCTTCCACCTTACAACTCAGAATATCGAACTACTCTGCTCTTTTAGCAAATCATGACTTTGACAATTACTCAAAACTGGGAGAGCTGATACCACATCTCCCCGAGTCTAAAAGATCCATCCTGAAAACAATAGTTCATGAGGGCCATATGATTGCCCGCACCGCTCTCCAAATCGCAATGGATGTTGCTGACATAGTCTGGCTACAACACCGCAGCCCGAGTTACAGCGACAGCGGTGGTGATGCGTAGAGCTTCTTGGCTCCAGTCGTCTGAAGTTCCCCGCGAACTCCAGCCCAAAGTGGAAGATTTGCCATTCGACAAGAAAAAGCTATTTGCAGCTACTACGGACGAAATGCTCCATAACAGCAAAAATTCTAAGTCCACATTTCGCACGTTGGGCATGTACAAGATACACCCCATATAACTCATACAACCGATACCGATATGGGCAATATAATAGATCACAGAGGCCCTATGAAGACACTAGACCAAGGCAACGAGGTCCCAGAAGACGCCACAACCAGGCCCGCCCACCAACTACCCAACCATCTAAACAGCAAATTTGAAGATTTGGTCGAGGGCCTGCGACACCCTGCTTACGATCTAGCACTACCCCAACATGGCCATCTGTTCACCCATCGTTTGCGCCCATTCCTTCCTCAATGGGAGTCCATAACATCGGACCGCTGGGTTTTGGAAATCATTCGAGTGGGCTACACCATCCCTTTCACCTCTATCCCCCCTACCCTTCCCCCTATCCCGTCCCTCTTCAGGGACCACTCTCACGAAACTCTTCTAAAACAAGAAATCGATGGACTTCTCCTCATTGGAGCTGTAGAAAGGGTACCCCGAGAGTTCCACGGGAGAGGGTTTTACTCGAACTATCTCTTAACTGAAAAACGAACAGGGGGTTGGAGACCTATATTGGACCTTTGCAAACTGAACAAGTTTCTCAAGAAATAGCATTTCAAGATGGTCACACTCTCCACAATCATTCCTGCGCTAGATCAAGGGGACTGGTTTGCAGCCCTCGACCTCCAAGATGCCTATTTCCATATAACCATCCACCCCTCCCACAGACGTTACCTGCGCTTCATGTTGGGACCAGACCACTTCCAGTACAGGGTTCTCCCCTTCGGCCTCTCATCAGCCCCGAGAGTATTTTCGAAGGTACTGGCTGTCGCGACGGCATATCTCAGACGACAAAACGTCATCATATTTCCCTATCTAGACGACTGCCTCCTAAAGGGATCCTCGTACGCCGAAACAGCCTCTATGATACAGACGACCACGACCCTCCTCAGTCGTCTAGGCCTTCTAATCAACCAAGACAAGTCAACTCTGCACCCGGTTCAAGACATAGAGTTCATTGGCGCACGCCTGGACTCAGTTACAGCCTGGGCATACCTACCTCAGCAACGTTTTGCAACTATGCAAGAAATTATAAACGGGATACTTACAGTTCCTACCACCACGGTATTTACATGCCTCTGACTAATGGGGCACATGGCTTCCACCACCTATGTAGTCCACCATGCTCG